CCAACTCCTCAGCCTCCCACTCCCCCCTCCTCTCCTTTCCTTTCCTTTCCCTTCTCTCTCTCTCTCTCTCTCTCCCCGCGCCCCATACCCCTAGCCCTACCCAAACCCCTTCCCTGTGCCCAGGGCCTGGTCGCACTGTACGTTACAAAGCAGCGACAACAGCCTTTGTTGCTTACTTACCTGGCCTTTGAGATCCTGCATCCCGAGGGGAGTCGCGGCTCGGTGTAGGAGGGGTGTGAGTAGAAGGCGGCGGGGTGAGGTGGGGGTACCGGGCCGGGGCCAGGGCCAGGGCCGGGGCCGGACAATCCCCGGGTCCCAGGCCGTTCCAGGGATAATAGCGGCCACTCAGCCAGGAGCGGGGAGACACACCGCGCACGCGCACTGACCGCGGGCCGGCGCCGGGTCAGCACGCATGTGCAGTGGCATTCTTCCTCCCCGACGCGATGCGCTGACCGGGCCTGCGCAGAACCGGACCCGGCCGGGCAGCGGTACGCATGCGTAATACCAGTGTTTCAGAGCAATGGGCAAGTGGTTCTGGATGTCCTGCAACAGAGAGGAGAGAGTGGGGAGCTTGTGGCACTGATTACCACAGCAAGCAGAAAATGCCAAAACACTGAATGTTTTCAAGAAGGAGTTAGAAATGGTTCTTAGGGCTAAAAGAATCGAATGGTATGGTGATAAAAAGGGAACAGGGTCCTGAGTTGGAAGGTAAACCATTGATCATATTGAATGGTGGACAAGGCTCAAAGGGCTGAATGGCCTGCTCCTACTCTCTATGTTTCTATGTACCAGTGCATTACGTCCTCTTGACTGCATGTGTAGGCAGACCTGGAGCTTACCTTGGAGGAGCTGAGTGCACGGAGCAGACTGGAGGCTTGAAGCAGAGCGAGGACTGGGGTTTGGCACCAGCGGACAGAGCACATGCAGAGGCCCTGTCCTGACCGTAATAAAAAGTGAAAGAACCTGCGGATGCTGTTAATCAGAAACAAAAGCAGAAGTTGTTGGAAAAGCTCAGCAGGCCCAGTGACACTTCCTTTGACGTTAACTCTTATTTCTCTTCACAAATGCTGCCAGACTTCAGAAGAAGGGTCCAGGCCCGAAACGTCAGCCTTCCTGCTCCTCTGATGCTGCTTGGCCTGCTGTGTTCATCCAGCTCTACACCTTGTTATCTCGGATTCTCCAGCATCGGCAGTTCCTGCTATCTCTGCTGCCAGACTTGCTGAGTTTTTCCATCAACTTCTGTTTTTGCTACAACATCATGTTTATTTGAAATTTTTTAACCTGGCTGTAAAGTCAATCATTTAATGATGTCTTCTTTCTAACTTTTTTTTTAAACTCTGTAAAGTAATGCAACTACTTTTTATTCCTCTTTTGTATCCAAGATTTGTACCAAGGTACTTATACCTAAAAAGGCACCATAAGAGGCAGACATGGTAAAAGCTTTTCGCTGTACTCCTACAATGGAGTACACATGACAATAAAGGACATTTTGTGCTACTCTGTGTTTCTGTGAGTTTTCCAGCTCGTTATGCAACCTGAAGATTGAAGTCCTGTGCTGCTTATAGCTATTCCTGCCAGGTGACCTGGTGTAATCGTAGACCACCCTCCTCTAGGACCTGATTGACACCCGGTTCCAGTCAATGGGAGCTGTGTGCAGCGGCCATCATAGACTGTTAAATAGTCATTGGTCATGATGCCAGTATTTGGTGTGCATTGTGGAGGCAACCTGCAGCCTTTGTTTGTGTTTGCTTTTGCTAGATGTAATAAAAGATCATGTTTGGATTGTCCGATTATTTGCCTGTCTGTGATGTGACTCTACTGGACAATGACAATATGTCAGTGGACACTGGGGTCAGAGTAATGGTAATATAGAGAGGGTGTTTAGATGGAATGTAGCTACAGACTGGTAAACTGTATACCTGGTGGTTCGATGAGACAGAGAGAATGAAATTACATGTCTGATGGAGTTAGCCATGCTGGCTATGTGATGTAAGCAGGATGCCTTTGTGTCAATTGTGGCATGACATTGCCGGAGAGGGACAATGCTGGATTGCCAACACTTATCCTGGTGCACAGCAAGCGTAAAATCATAGAATCCCACAGAATAGGAGAGGCTCCCACGAGGAGCTCGAACAGTTCATCAACTTTATTAACACCTTTCACCCCAACCTAAAATTCACCTGGACCTCTCTGTCTCCATTTCTGGTAACCGCCTCAACACTGACGTCTATTTCAAACCCACCGACTCCCACAGCTACCTGGACTACACCTCCTCTCACCCACCCTCCTACAAGAATGTGATCCCCTACTCCCAATTCCTCCACCTCCGCCGCATCTGCTCCCAAGATGGGGTGTTCCACTCCCGGACATCAGAGATGTCCTCCTATTTCAAGGACCACAATATCCCCCCTCCAGTGATCAAAAATGCCCTTAACTGCTTCTCTTGCATTTCCCGCACCTCTTCCCTCAAGCCCCCAACAAAAATAAAGACAGAATCCCTCTGGTCCTCACATACCACCCCACCAGCATCCGCATACAGTGTATCATCCTTCACCGCTTCCGCTACCTACAATATGACCCCATGACCAAAGAGATATTTACACCTGTCCCTACTCCTCCATCCAAGGCCCAAAACAAACTTTCCATATCCAACAAGGGTTCACCTGTACATCCTCCAACCTGGTCTACTGTATCCATTACTCCCGATGTGGCTTCCTCTAAATCGGTGAGACCAAGCGCAGACTTGGTGACCAATTCACGGAGCATCTGTGCTCGGTACGCAATAATCAACAATGCCTTCCGATCACTAACCATTTTAACTCCTCCTCCCACTCCCTTGATGACATGTCCATCCTGGGCCTCCCCCAGTGCCATAATGACGCCACCCGCAAACTGGAGGAGCAACACCTCATATTCCACCTCAGGACCCGACAGCCTGAACGTGGATTTTACCAGTTTTAAAATCTCCCCAACCCCCTGGCCTCATCCCATGTCCAGCCCTCCTCCTCAACCTGACACAACCTGTCCATCTTCTCTCCCACCTATCTGCCCCTCCCTTCCCACTGACCAAGCCCCACTATCCTCAACTGCATCCACCTATCAGGCTCCCAGCTACCTTCCCCCAGCCCCACCCCTCCTCCCTTTATTTATTTCCCAGCTCCCTTCCCCCTCCCAATCATAGATTGATTGATCCTACAGTGTGGAAACAGGCCGTTCGGCCCAACAAGTCCACACCGACTCTTGGAATATCCTACCCAGACCCATCCCCCTATAACCCACCTAATCTACACATCCCTGAACACCTGGGACAATTTAGCATGACCAATTCACCTAGCCAGCACACCTTTGGACTGTGGTGGACTGTGGGAGGAAACCAGAGCACCCGGAGGAAACCCACGCTGACACGGGAAGAATGTGCAAACACCGCACAGACAGTCACCCGAAGGTGGAATCAAACCCGGGTCCCTGGCACTGTGAGGCTGCAGTGCTAACCACTGAACCACCGTGCCACCCAAATGATGGAGGGTGTAAACCCGAAACATCGACTTTCCTACTCCTCTGATGCTGTCTGGCCTGTTGTGTTCCTCCAGCTCCACACTATGTTGACTTTGACTCCAGCATCTGCAGTTCTTGCTATCACAGGCGAAGCCCTTTGGCCCATTAAGTCTGTTGCCAAAGCTACGCTAAATCTAGGCCTTTAAAAGATGACAAGTGACACCAGTCTTTTAGTGTATGTTGCTTAGTGGCGAGTTGTTCTGGGATAGGTGGGTGGTATGATGGAGATGGAATTCAGCCTGACGGATACAATAGGTGTGAGGGAGTAGTTATTGAGACTAGTATGGTGAAATATGGGGAGAAATCTCACTAGGCTGTGCAGTGAAAACTTCACCAAAAAACTCAACACAACTCACACTCAGCCAGATTGAGTCTTATGTTGCAGTGAATGACCACCACATTAACTACTTTTTTTTAAAAAAATGGTGTCAGATTTCATTTGGGAGACTGACTGATTCACTTGGGCCATCAGCTGGAATCATAACAGTTGGCCTCAAGTTTTGTGACCTTACTTGACCTCCAAGGCCACTAGATATCCTAATGAGCAATTTTCTCCAACCTAACATCCCAGTACAGCTCTTCCATTTGGCTATTAGGGTCATAAAGATGTACAGCATGGAAACAGACCCTTTGGTCCAACTTGTCCATGCCAATCAGGTTTCTTAAATAAATCTGGTCCCACTTGCAAGCACTTGGCCCATATCCCTCTCAACCCTTTCTACTCATGTCCCCATTCAGATGTCTTTTAAATGTTGTAATTGTACCAGCTTCCACCACTTCCTCTCGCAACTCATTCCATAACAGTCAGCTGTGCAGATTTACTGCTGGGTCAGACAGCAGTGCGGGTTTATTTCTCCATTTCATTCACTTCACATATGATCACTGTCTTTGTCCTCCTTTCTAAATCGCTGTTGTTTTGATCTTTTCTCGCCCCCCCAAAGTTCCAAATCAATGCAACAGCTTATAAGACAGTAATTACTGCTCCTAGAATTCGAGGAAATCAGCTCCAACACTGAAAATACCTCAAAAAAGGAGCAGATCTTACAGCCACAATTTTTCCTGTCCTCCATCTTGGATTACCGAGAATCCTTTCTTTTCTTACAAGAGAGGTCATTGCATTTGCAAGGTTGTTCAATGTAGACAGTCATCCATGAGACATTTAATAAGGGGATATAACAAAATCTAAAACTCAATTTGTGTAGCAACACAAATAGTACAAATATATAATGGCAAGACATAAAAGCTAAATGGGTAAGCTTTGATAAACCGTCTTCTCTTGTCCTTGACATTTTTCTTGACCTTGAATTTCTAATGTTCTTGCCAAGCATTTTGGTTTAAATCAGCTGTCAGGTTGCCACTCGTCTCTGTGACATTTGTTCTGGCAAGAAGTTCTATTTACAGCAGAACAGTTGTTTGTGGGGGTAGGAATGATCTTCCCAAGGGAAGATTGTGTCTGCTCATTTCTTCACACTGTACTGTCCTACACTGTCATCCTCAGTTCCTTCCAAAAGTATCCCATTTTCTACTGTAATATGTATGGAGCAATCCAACTAGAGGAAAAGGATACAAGGTATTTTCCCATTGACTTCCTCATGTGCTTACTGGATATACAAGCCCTCTTCATGAAGGATCCTGCACATGTCAATAGCTGTTATCCCATTGAGGGATAGCCTTCTGCCATCACCACTGGAAATTCCCTGGTTACACCAATTGCCATGGTTCGTAACACCAAACCTTGGATCTATCCCGTGACCTTTGGGAAACTTACAAGAATGGAACATGTTTCTTGTATCAAATGCCCTTGCTAAGTAATTGAGCTGAAACTTTAGGTCCTTTTACCGGATTTT